AGAGCATCTGGACTTCTAGGAAGGGCTCCAGAGTCTGCAGTTTCAGCGCCTCAAAGCGCAGCTCCCTTCCAGCGCTCCCTGAAGGTTGTGGACCTCAAATGGACCGAAAATCCATGCGAAAATTCATGGGAAAATCCATGAGACAATGACGCAACATCCTTTTTAGGGATGAAACATAATGAAAAATAGATGGAGACTTTTTTGGAGAGGATGATTGTCGGAAGATGGAAATTTAGCCATAGAGTGGTGAGATTATCGTAGCAGTAAACGAAAAGGTAATGCGAACAGAGACGATACAGCTTAACATGCGAAGTGTCGCTACTACAGTTGAGAGACGACCTAACTTCTGGTATTTTTCTCACAATTTGGGGCTTCGAGGCTTAGTTTTTGGAGAGACATGAAATTGCACACAGAAAAAACGCGGGAATTTTTCACCGTGCAGTGTTTCACTACGAAGTCACAGCCAAGATGCGCACTGTAAAGCTCGAAGCAAGGTCGAGTTCAGTCCAGGACCACGAATCTGCCTACAGAGCTCCATATCCCAATCGGTTAGTTCCATTGGTTAGGTCAACTACGCCCCTAAGAATATGGGTGGGCCAAAAACACGAGGTTTTTTTCCACTGAAGGTTTAATGCAACGATCTGGCTGAATTGAAGGAATCGCTTCCCATTGGTCACTGCACATGACTGGTGTTTGGATGTTCTGCTTTCAGCCTCTGACCTCTCTCGGAAACTAGATCGTCATCAGAAGCATAGATGAAAATTCTATGAAAATTCTATCTCTGGAGAACTTTATGATAAAGAGGTATAACTCCGGAAAGTCTGGAAAAGACTCAACTTCTGCAGCGCATCCTTCGCATCCGGCTCCTCCCAGGTCTCCCAGTTTCTGGGGCAAAAGAAGGAGACGTTGTACCTGTCCCGCTGTCGCATGAGATATCCAAGATCTTGACAGGCAGAAAAATTGGGAAATTATGATTGATAGTCGTAAGCCAGGGGGCTTGTCCAGTCAAACCCATTAGATGGGCATCTGCGAAATTTGCATAAGAAGCTGGAAACCATAAAAACACTGGGGATGGTCCGGTGACTTTACCTCATCGGGAATGTCGTGTCGATCTGCATGTTCAAAGGAGACACGAAGAGTATCAAAAAAGGAGTAAAATGAGTTTAAATTTGTCTCCTGAATTGATATCAATCAACACAAGGTGGTTGAATCTACAAATTGTTGCTTAACAATTTGGGACGTCACGCTCAGCAATGCGTTTTCCTGCAGGTTTCGCTGCTGTCATTCCTCTGGCTCTGGCTCGGCATCTGCATCCACTGGTTCAGGCAAGGACTCCAACCGATTGGTTTCCAAGAAGTTTTCGCCGGCAATCCTTGGAAAATCACAATGGTGAGACATGAGAGCGACAATGTGAGGATGGACGTCCTTCATTGTCGTTAATATTAATTCAAACGAACGGTTTTCATTTTCTGTGTCGAGATGTATGCAAGAATGCCAATTCTTGCATACATCAAGAGACTCTAAGCAGTGTGTGAGAGGGGGGAAAGAATGTATAATATGGTAATGTTGAACAATGCCGGTGATAATGATGGTGATGATAGTCACGATGACGAGAAGGATGACGGTGTGGTGGTGGAATATGTAGAGGATAGTGATGTTTCGGATGATGCGGTGCAGAAAGATGATGTTGAGGATGATGATCATGATGACGATGATGGTGATGGTGATGATGATGATGATGATGATGATGAGCATGATGATCATGATGGTGCTGATGCTGATGCTGATGATGACCGAGATGTAGGCAACACGATAGAAGATTATTTGTTTGGAATTCTCAGAAACCATGCCGTGCTACAAGACCTGGGTGCATATTTTGTGTGACCCCGCGCGGCCCGCAGTGGACATACAGAGCAACATGTCACAAGGGCTACTTGTATCTTTTGTTGTAATTGGAACTCTCGAATGTCGGGCCACATGACCGTGGCCAGTGTACACACATTGATGGTTTTACCATGCGCAGTGGAGATGTATGTTAACACGACCAAAGAGTTATTTTTGATGGAAACGGACGGGAAAGTTTAGGGCGTAGTCTGTATGTTTGTCAGCGCGAGCGAAATTCACACGCACACGTCGCAGGAATTGACAGGAGCTATTTTGCACGGAATGTTTACAGAGCAATGCCGCATCTACTTGGAGCATCCGGATCAAGTACCGGGTTTATGAATAAGCATCTCTTAGTGTAGACACACTGCATGTTTTGTGACAGTAGAAACAAAATGACTGAGGCTGCCTGAGGCTGAGAACTTTGAAAATGCAGGTGCATGTCAATGTTTACCATGCCAAGCTGTAGAATTTCGCATGGGTTCATGGGCAGAAAAAAAAAGTGAGGTTGCAAGCCTTTAAAATTCATCTGCGTGTCAATGGCTACCATGCCAAGCTGCAGAGGCTCGAATGGGCGCAACACTTCCAGTGTCTGGCGCAGCGCTTCGATGCCATCCTGCCGCTGGGTGGCTGTATGGCAAAATCAGATCAGCTTGCGCTGTCTTCTTTTCACAAAGCCTTTTAGAAAATGCATGAAATGCATTGCAGCAATCGTTTTTCCTTATATCCGTTTTCAAGGTCATGATTTTGACAAGTTTTGTCCCAAACCAAACAGTATCAAATTGTTTACTTTACTTGAGGACCCCAATTGGAGACGATTATTTGTGAGTCTTTACTTTTTCCAGGATATGGGGTTGTGGGGTGATACAGTACATGCACTCTCTCTTGGAGATGCTGACTATGGGCTGGTACAGGGGAAGGAAAGTGTCAGAACATGTTGCTTCATTCGTCAAGGATGGTGCCGAGAGGAAATCTAATTCGGATGTTGTTTCGGCTGTCCTCTGTGTGCGCCGCTGCAGCGACAATGCTGTGCAGGTGGTGACTCTGCTTTGTCACTCCCATTGCCCAATATATGTGCATCGCTTTGGCGCCGCGTATGAGGATGTCAGCGGCGAAGCGCCAAGACCTGCAGCGTTGGCTGCAGAACTCCTGGCCCTCTAGAATGGCCACCTCTGCTTTATGCAAGGCCCACACCGTGGTCGCTTCGTGTCCTTCCAAGCGTTCAGCAACAAGCATGGCTAGGGCCATCGGCGCTTGCCTAGGCTGAGGCGGCTGATTCCTCGTGAATTCAATAATGGAATACTTCGTTCCCATTTTGAGAATGATGTTGCCAGCTCTATTCTGCTACCTCTACTCAATCTTGCATCCAGTTGCTGGTCAATTTTTATATCTTTTCTTTTCTTCTGCTATGCCGTCTTGTGGTTTGTCAGATTGTGTTCGACATGATCAAAGTGAAGTGACCGGCATGTCAACATGAATCCAAAACTTTGTGTATCTATCAAGAACAGCACACACATTGGTTGCGACATGTCAATTGGATGAATTCCTGATGAAATTTCGTCTGATGAAATTTGGTTCCTGGAGTTGGTTCCAGTAATTTTCGGCGCCTGGCCTCCAGGTGCTGTTGTCACGCGTTGCCACCACAGGTATCCCAAGCACAGTTCCAGATAGCGTCACTGCGTCCACCAGTGGTTGCTGAGCCCACAACTCGTCTGGATCGTGAACATCAGGTGGTGGTGGCGGTGGTCGGCGCTCTCCTTGGCGCGAGGAACGTGTCGAAGGAAGTTTTATGAGAAGTGAAACGTCCGACAGTGTGGACAGATGGAAAAGCACAGCCAGGAAGAAGCTCAGACAGGGAGACAGTCAGAAGTGAGAAGATAAGAGATGAAGAAAGTCAGAAGTGAGCAGATGCAGGTACGCGAAAAGGTAGCAAAGTCGCGAAACACCGTATTTTTCCAATGTTTTGTGGCTCCGGAAGGTCGGCTCGCTAAAGCGGCGGGTGCGGAGCCAGCTGGCCAGATGAGAAGTGAAAAATTGCACGCCGTTATGGCGCGGAGCACATGTCCAAGTCAAAATGGAAAAAGACGTCAGCAAGTCAAAATGCAAAAACACCTCAGCGTCGAAAAGTGAGAAGTGAGAAGTGTAAAAAACTGAGTGGGGTTCGGGGCACTTTTTGACGATTCCACGGCGATTCGATGTCGCAAAAGTGCAAACCGTTGTGGCGCGAAGGCCATTTCCAAGTCAAAAGTGGTAAACACTGCGGGTCTCGGGTCAATTTTTCAAGTTTGGGTGTGACTATATCATAACTACAAGTACAAGCACAAGTACAAACACAACTACAACACAGCACCACTACGATTACAACTGCAACTACCACTACTACCACCACAACAGCAACTACTACAAGAACTACAAGTGAAAATACCATACCACTAGAACAACAAACACAACAACGACGACGACGACGACGACCACGACGACGACGACTACAACTGAAAACGAAAACCACAACGACTGCAACAACAAGTACAACAACAACAAGTACAACAACAACAACAACAACAACTACTACTACCACTACTACTACTACTACTACGACTACTACTACTACTACGCTACAATTACAATGACAATTACAGTTACAATTTCAATTCCATGACAACTACAACTACAACAACTACTACAACTACTACAATGACAACAACTACAACAACTACAACAGCTACAGGTACAACCACCACAACTACAACTAGAACCACACTAACCACTACAACTTCACTACATTGCACTGCACAACAAATACAAATACAAATTCATTACAACTACCTCTAGAACTAAACCACGACTACAAGTTGTCTTCAATTACAACTACATTGCGCAGCCTCCAACCACTTGTCATTCCATCACTGGGTTTTCTGCCATCCATCATTCACAGCAACGAACCTGTCCTATATGTTTCTCATCTTTGAAACTTCCGCCACCGCCTTGTCCGGTACTACTGGTTGGGAAGATCTCAGGTGATAGAGTGGGAGATCTGATTTGGTTCTCACAGAAGGATCTTCTCCATTTAAGTTGCATTGCAAAGGATCAATGTTGTCCAAGCGGATGAAAACTAATCATTGTTTGGGGGCATGCTTGTTGTTTTGGCATATTTTGGCCAAGGATCGTGATTGGCCGTCTGTCGCCCTTTGAGAGGTCAGCAAAGTGTTCCAGTGCGATGGCGCGTTGAAGAAATCCACAACGTCGATCTCTCTGTCATCTTCTGGCTTTGTCAAAGTCGTGACCATAGTGTGGTATGCCTGCCACCCTCTCTCGGTCAGCCGTGCATGTTCTGGCCATCGCTCCTGGGCTGGCATATGCTTGTGTTATGTATCACGGTTATGTCTACAGACTGCAAGGAAATTGACCTGGCAAATTTACATGGGAGCCTGAATTTGAAGAAGAATGTTTCTTGGCAAAATATTTTATTTCATAGAAGACACCGAGGGATTCACATGTTGTGTGCAAGGCATGGTGCTTGGATGGTGGAAGTATGGGAATGTGGTGTGCAAAACCGCAGCAAAAAAATCGCAATGTGGTCGAGGCACAGCTCTTGGCAACTCACTCACCAGATGCCGCCACTCCGCAGAGACGGTGGGAGGGCGGGGAAAGCCGTTCACCACATGCAACTCGTGACTCGCCCTTGAGAAGGCCACTGCCATTTTGCCAACATCCAACAGGCTGCCTCTAGGGGTGTCTTCGCTGGCACATCCTCAGCAGCCACGGATCATGAAAGGTAAAAAGTGTTGGCGCGAGCAAGTTTAGAGTGATTAACTCGGAGACTTTGATTTGTGTTTCGAACATGTATCTATAGAATGTGAGATGCAGACATTTTTAAGTTGCTAATATTTAAAGAATTGCTGTCACTGAGGTTCTCTATACGCACATTATTTATAGAATAGCTGAGCCCAAGTAAGTCTCGTACAGCTGTTTGAGGTCAGGAGGTTTTTTGGCTTTAGGTAAAATCAAATGCCTTAAGTCTTATTCATTGACCGCTGACACGAACAGTCCAATTGGTTTTGAAAATATCTGCCAAGTTGCTCGGCAGCAGCAGCAGCACGATCGCCTGACTTTCGTATCCCCGGCTGCTCCGCACCGTCAGCGTCTCGATCGGCAGGTCCAGGTGGTGAAGGAAGGACTTGACCATGTTTTTTTGCGAAGAATACCATGTGATGACTGCCAGGCGTTGATACTGTCGCTGAAGTTGGCGGGTCAAGGTTTCCACCGCTCCATAAAGCTCCGGTGTGTGGACCCCGCCGATCCCTGCAGTCGCGTGCTGCTGGAATGACCTCGTGCTGTTTCTTGCTGCTGACATCACAACATCCGTCACACGTGCAAAATATCTCTGATACGTGCACAACATTTCGGAAGAGTGCGTGCACATATGGAATCTTCAAAACCAATGGGATGGGGGCGGTGAAAGACATTGCACCAATTCATATGTAAATATCTATATGCATTATTCAATATATATATATATATACATATAAATATCCATAAATACAGAAATAACACTCTATATATATATATGTGTGTGTGTGTGTGTTTGTGAATATACATGTACATATATGCATATACATATATATATATATACATATATACATATATACATATATACATATACATATATGCATACAACAATACATATACATATACAGAATATGCACCAGGTCTTCGGTTCAAGGCTTGTCGCCAGTCGCTATGCAAGGCGCAAAAAAACATGGTCGACTGGGCATCGCAACAGCGTGCCGATGCGGCAGTCACTTTTTTGAAAATCACGATTTTGAGAGCTTGCGTCAAGACCGGTTGTGTATTCAGTGGAATGACAAGTGGAGATCATGGGATGGCATAATTCGGGCTGTCGTGTCCCCCGGCCTTGTGTCAGCCAGCTGCCAAACATGGATCGCGGTATCATGACCCGCGGAGCTCACCAGGTTCTCGTAGCAGCTGATGCTGTTGGCCAGGAGGCGAGCAACACTGGCGCCCAAGCGATAGGTAGTGTCCAGCGAGAGCCTCACAGGATTGTCTCTGAGGATTGACCCGCAGAGACAATTGACAAATTGTTTTTTTAGCATCTGCTTGGCAATGTGCAAAGGCATCTGGTCTTTGAGTCGCAATTTTTTCAAATTGATCTTGTAAGTGAAACTGAAATGTTTTGAAACTTTGGGTAGCACAAGGGTTGCAAACTGTGATCATTAAAGGAAATTGTACAGGTAGCTTTCAAGGATGTTGGCTGGTAGGTATTTTTCCTTAACAGCGTAAGCTCATGGGGTTTCAGCCCAGATAGCCTCCAGTGTGCCGGTGCGGGTGGCAGGCACAGGCTTCGGAAGGTTCCGGTAGGTTCCGGAGGGGTCTGGTGCAGGGTCAGGGGTGGAGGTTGCAGGCGCAGGTTCCGGAAGGTTCCGGGAAGTTCCAGTGCAGGGCAAAGTGCAACTTGCAAGCGCAGGTGCAGGAAGGTTACGGAAAGTTCCGTAAGGTTGCGCCGGATTGCATGCCCAGGTTTTGGAAAGTTATGGAGGGTTGCGGAATGTACTGGAGGGCTCTGGTGCAGGGCCAAGTGCAGGTTGGCAGGGTCCGGAACGTTCCAGAGGGTTTCGGAGGCCCTCCTAGTAGTAGTAATAGTACTGATGGTACTAGTAGCAGTAGTAGTAATAGTAATAATAGAACGAGTAGTAGGAGTAGTGAAGTAGTAGTCGTAGGAGTAGGAGTAGGCTGGAATACTGTAAGGAGTAGGAGTTTGAGGAGGAGTAGGAGTAGGAGTAAGAGGAACAATGGTAGAAG